ACACTTGCTATGGCCTACTGGAGGTAGGCTGCTTCACATTAGAGGAAATAAATAGAACAATTAATGTGATTTCATCTATAGCTAGAGACTTCTGATGGACAGAAAATAAAAAGTGCAGACTGTTAGTTAATAAATAGTGGATATGTGGTGGGATTAAATAAGTTGATGCTTCTTCCTTCTCCTTTTTGAACATGTAAGTTATAATTATTATTGCTTTGTTTTCGTTTTGTTTGCTTTGTCTTTTTCCCTCTTTTGTTGTTGTTATACTATTTTAACATGTTCAAAATAAAGATTCAGTACAATACAATACTTCTATCTCTGTCAATTGAGCATCGCACCTTGTGGAAAATCTTGAAAACAAAGTGTTTAGTGTTAGAATATCCAGACACTGCAACTGCTATATAGAAACCCAAGCAAAGATCACAGGCAACCAGTCCTTGCAGCATAGCCTTGACACAATGAACATAATACATTTCTTACCACATAATACAAAGCTGCTATCTTCTGTTTGTTATAAACACAGTTTATTCCTACAAGTCACAATAGAAAGTTAAAAGGGGTCAAATGGATAGAAATAATATGACCATAATCAAGCAGGAAAAAACAAACAAACAAAAAAAACCAATCAGTCAGTGCCACCCACCTAACCCCTCAAATTAATCTTTAGTACAATAACAATTAAGCTCTGGAAAATGTTAGCTTCATGTTATAAATATTTTCTGAGTTGAACAACTCAGAGTACATAACAGTTGGTAAACATTTATAAAAACAAACAAACAAACAAAAAATAGCCTATTTGAGTAATGTTAGAAGTAAATGAATCTGTAAATGAAAAAATAAGAGTGGGTTTTATTAAGAAACTATATAAATATGTGTGTGTGTGTGTGTGTGTGTGTGTGTGTGTGTGTGTGTGTGTGTGTGTTCGTGTGTTTGTGTGTGTGTGTGTATATATATATATATACAACATACTAAAGGTAAAATTCATTTGAGGGCTATGTAGTGGAGTGCTTTGCAGTTGCTGTTCTTGTCACTTTAGCTACTAATCCTAATTTCCCTTGTTTTTAATCAACTGAGGGCTCCAGAAAAAAAATCTTAAAGTGTTATGCATTTCTTTTTAGTTTGCTTCCAAGGAGCACGACTTTCTTGTTGGTTTTTTTAAAGTGTTTCTGAGAAACTTCTCCAGGCTTTATGAAGGTCTTTCAAAGTTTTTCTTTGGACCTTTCGGTCTTTCACTTTTTCACTCATTCTCACATCAGTCCAAGGTTCAACAAACTTATCTGTTTGTTGAACCACTTAATGCTGACCTGAGAAACATTCAAGCATAAAAAAGGCAGCAAACTCAAGAAATGAAACAGTGCTGTGTCTACACACAAGGAACAACTTAAGATAAGATAAGATAACCTTTATTAGTCCCACACGTGGGAAATTTGTTTTGTCACAGCAGGAAGTGGACAGTGCAAAAGTTATGACGCAAAAATTAGAATACAATAAGAATAAATACAGTACACAGCTGTACAGAATAGAATAAAATAATATACTATATACAGTAGAATAAAATAGAATAAAAATATACAATAAGATAAAAATAGAATACGAATGCTATATACAACTGAGTAAAAATACAACGATGCCAGAAAGGATTATTGCACTTAGTATTATTGCACATGTGTGGATGTGTGTGTTTGTTCAGTTAAAGTCTTTGTTGTGGAGTCTGACAGCAGTGGGGAGGAAAGACCTGCGAAATCTCTCCGTCCCACACCGTGGGTGCCGCAGTCTGCCACTAAAGGAGCTGCTCAGTGCTGTCACAGTCTGCTGCATGGGGTGGGAGATGTTGTCCATCAGGGATGACAGCTTAGCCGCCGTTCTCCTGTCACTCACCACCTCCACTGGGTCCAGAGGGCATCCTAGAACAGAGCTGGCCCTTCGGATCACCCTGTTCAGTCTCTTCCTGTCCCCAGCAGAGATGCTGCCGCCCCAGCAGACCACACCATAAAAGATAGCAGAAGCCACCACAGAGTCATAGAAGGTCTTCAGGAGTGGGCCCTCCACCCCAAACGACCTGAGTCTCCGCAGCAGGTACAGCCTGCTCTGCCCTTTCCTGTAGAGGGCGTCTGAGTTATGAGTCCAGTCCAGTCTGTTGTTCAGATGAACACCAAGGTACCTGTAGCTGTCCACAGCCTCAATGTCCATACCTTGGATGTTCAGTGGTTGCAGTGGAGAATGCTTGTGCCTGCGGAAGTCTACCACCAGTTCCTTGGTTTTACTGGCATTGATCTGGAGGTAGTTCAGCTGGCACCAGTCCACAAAGTCTTGAGTCAGTCCTCTGTACTCCTTGTCGTCCCCATCAGTGATGAGGCCGACTATTGCAGAGTCATCAGAGAACTTCTGCAGGAAGCACTGGGTGGAATTGTGGGAGAAGTCAGCAGTGTAGATGGTGAAGAGGAACGGAGCCAGAACCGTTCCCTGTGGGGCCCCCGTACTGCAGACGACCCTGTCCGACACACAGCCCTGAGTCCTCACATACTGTGGTCGGTCGGTGAGGTAGTCCAAAATCCAGGTAGTGAGGTGATGGTCCACTCCAGAGTTCTCCAGCTTGTCCTTCAGAACCGAGGGAAGAATGGTGTTGAAGGCACTGGAGAAATCAAAGAACATGATTCTCACAGTGCTTCCAGCGGTCTCCAGGTGAGCGAGGGAACGATGTAGGAGGTGAATGACGGCATCATCCGCTCCAATGCCAGGCTGGTAGGCAAACTGAAGTGGGTCCAGTGATGAGCTTGTTAGGCGCCGAAGCTGAGCCAGGACCAACCAACTTTGCCCATTTTAAATGGTATCTTTAGGCACTTTGTTATTAGGCAGTCTATGGCAAAAACACTTAATTTGTTTCCATGTATTTAGCTGAAAACCTGTGAAAGATAAAACTTCTGATATTTCTGTGTGTGTTGCTTTAAATGTCATAGCCTTTTGTTTAATCTAATACTTATGAGTACCCTGAGTAAACACAATATGCTGGAATGGCCCTTTAAGAAAGAAGAAAATGAGGTGACCAAAGGAGAAAGAATGAAAAGTAAGCCTGCACTCTGACCCTGGTGTGCTATTTTGGGATAATATGTTATAATGAGGTCTTTAAGATATGGTGGGGCCTGACCATTCCGGACTTTGTCTCAGCACACCTTCAGGGAGTCAGGGAGCTTCTGCTGAGCAGTTTCTCCATTGGTTTGGCTGGCATAGTGATTGCATTTTTTGGATTGGAGTGCAGACACATTGGGGGAGACCAGAGAAGTATAAATGGGATCTGATAAACAGCATCTACTTTCCATGTGGTCGGCTGTGAGTATCATTTATTTGCATGTACAAAGCCTGAGCTGCAATTCAATTCAATTCAATTCAATTCAATTCAATTCAATTCAATTCAATTCAATTCAATTCAATTCAATTCAATTCAATTCAATTCAATTCAGTTCAATTCATACAGCGCCAAATCACAACAACAGTCGTCTCAAGGTGCTTCATATTGTAAGGTAGACCCATAGGATGATCCCCAAATGAGAAAGCACTTTGGCAACAGTGGGAAGGAAAAACTCCCTTTTAACAAGAAGAAAGCTCCAGCAGAACCAGGCTCAGGGAGGGGCGGGGCCATCTGCCATGACCGTTTGGGGTGAGAGAAGGAAGACAGGATAAAAGACACAATTTCAGAAGCTTCTCGGAACACCCACTTACTGGTTTGTTGTGTCTGTTTTTCCCCGTGTGTCATCAACTCTCCCTCATGCAGGTGTGTCAGGCATGGCTGCTTACTGTTTATACATAAACAACGTGGTCGAGTTGTTTTTACATAGACAAGCAGATCCATCGAAACTGAGGTAATGTGGTTTTTAAATCCCTCTCGTGAATTCTCACTCTAACTAGCTGTATAATTCACTGTGTAACTCCACACGTAGTTAACTATCCAAAAAGGTTGGTTTACCTAAATGTAAACCATATAAACTACTGTGCTTTGTTACCACTACTAGAATCAATGGGGGGGGAAAAAACATTTAAAGCGTGAGGAAAATTCTTGATCCTCTCCCTCCATCAGACTGAAAGAGGAAGATAGAGAGATGTTTTGAGGAACTCATAACATTATGAGCAAGGAAAAGCTTAGATTCAGAAACATCATGCAAAAGCATCTCAACATTACTGAAGTAATGTAGGATGATCTTGTCAGTGAATGAAACAAAAGGCAGCCAACATTCAAAGAGCGTTGGAATGTCCTTGACGAAGCTTGGAGATCTATTCCAAAAGACTATTTACAGAAATGACAAGACAGCTTGGATAAGACAGTTCTGGCTGAATGCAGAATGCAATGACGGCAAATCGCATAAATGCATGTTTTATTTACAACAGCACGACATGAAACACTCAGACATAAAGTTAGGCAATGGTTCACCAAAATGCAGAAAACTATCTCTATAAATTTTGGAGGATTTTTTTATTATTTTCCCCAATTTTAAGTCGCAAAAGACTGCGATGTACTCAGAAACAACTTCATCCACAAACACAGGTTAAAGGTCTACCATTGCAAATAAGCCCCATATGAACATGATCCAGAAACCATGCTGTCTTCTGTTATTACACAATAACAGATATGAAACAATGAAAAACAAATACGTTTAACAATTCTGAAATCTGGGATCACCGTGAAACTTGAAAGTTATGAAATACCCCCCCCCCCCCCCCCCCCCCCACCACACACACACACACACAACATCACACAAACAACAGTTAATGTTTAGTCATGAAAACCATGACTTTTACACATTTGACATCTGAGCAGGGAACCTAAACAAAGTAGAGGCACACCATGATGAAAAGGTTAAAACCAATGGCAGGCGTAATGCTGTTCCTGGTGGCAACATCAAAGGCGCTTACTGGACAAAACTATCTAAAAGATAAGATGAGCTCAAAGCATCCACACTGCTAGTCTGACACTTACACATCAGCAATGACACAAAGGAGGAGGCCCATTCACATTTCCTGCAGTGAGACCTTACTTTTTCAACTGTTACGAATTTTGGTCGAAGACCAGAATTCACCATGAAATACAGGACGGTGGTGATGTACGTGGAGATTGGCTGCTTCGTGTCCTGCTTATGTGGCTGGATTCTGGTCTCTTCAACTCTTCCCACAGAGTACTGGACTTTCTCAGAGGTGGGCACCGTAGTGCTGACCACCTCCAACTACTACTCCAACCTGTGGATGGACTGCATCTCAGACACCACGGGGGTGTCTGACTGCAAATACTACCCCTCCATGCTGGCCCTGCCTGGTAGGATACGCTGAGATCTTCAAAACTTTACAGTCTCTCTTTTTAATTTCTACTCAGCTGTTCCTTTAGCTCATTGCTATGTTTTTCTATGTTGAAGATACAATTTGAAGCAGAGAAATCATACAAATTTCTTTAGGTTATCTTAATAAAATGCACAACTGTTATGTTAACATAAACTGTATTTGTTTTCTTTCAGTGTTCTTGCACGCCTGCAGAGCACTGGCGGTCTGTGCTGTCATTACAGGCTTCTTCGGTGGCGTCCTCACACTCATAGGGATGAAATGTACTAAAATAGGTGGGACAGAGATTGTCAATTCAAGGGTGACATTTTCTGGTGCTATCACCTACCTGGCTTCAGGTAAACAATCCTTCAATACATATATGTTGGTTGATCAGTTTTCAAAATAGCCAAAAAGAGGTTTTAAAATACAGCCTCTTTTCTGGTAGGCGGCTGCGGCATGATCACCTACTCGTGGTGGGCTAACAGAGTCATAACTGAATTTAAGAATCCAAATTTCAGGTCACAGAAGTGAGTAATTTTCAAGTGGTATTCATATTATAGTAGCTGATTTTTAAAAATAGATATTAACTTTAAAAATCCATGCAATGAAACACATCTGCATTCACTTCAGGTTTGAACTTGGAGCGGCAATTTTTGTTGGCTGGGGAGGATCCCTTCTTCTTATTTGTGCAGGGGCAGTGCTGGCCTATTTGTCTGGGAAAGAAATCCTACCATCATGGTGAGTAAAATAAATAAGTCCTTAAAGGTTGTAAAGTGGTAACCTTTCTCTATTCGTGGCTGCCTGTATAGCAGGCCACAACTAGCAACCGATAACAGCTTGGATTACCTCACCTTGTGTCTCCTGTTTTTCTAGCATTAGTTCCACCCAAAGGCCACAGAGACCAGTTTCCTACACCACTGCCCGTACCAGACGTACATACATGATGCCGCCCCCATCCTCCAGAGTGACATTAGTACCCCCACTGTATAACAAAGGCATGGATGGCCGAACAACCAGAGCAACAAATAAGACAGATCAAACCTTGGGGAGAGACAGCTTCGTCTGAGCCAGAGGGAACCAAGAGTGAAGAGAACAGGAAACGTATGATTACCCATACAATATGAAGCTGTAGCATAAAGGAGAAATTGCTCTTACTGGTTGGTGTTGTAAATTACATTTGAGTCCACAAGGTGGACGAGGTGTATTTTGTATAAAAATTGGCCAACCTCCTCAAAATTCCATGTCTCCAATCCTCTTTGTACAAGTTCAGTTGCTAATATAAGTTATAAAATGTTTAACAATTGGCCTTTAATGTTTTACTGGTGCATTTCCTTACTTATAATATTCTGCACCAATTTTTCTGTTTGCAAGTTTTTTAATGCTTAAAATCTCTGCAATAAAGTTGTGTCCCTGAATTGCCTGTGCCACCAGTGACTCTTATGTAAATCCTTCTGAATGGGTCCCCTCATTGGGGACTCAATGAGGGGACCAATTCATCTTCATCTTTTTCTTGATATTTCAGAATGGCTAACTGATGTGTTAAAGCATAACATGTCCAACCTGTTACTCTTATTTACCATACAAACTGATCATTTTTGTAATTTTGATCAAGTGGTTGATAAGCATTTTAAAACTTCTTTTTGAGTTCTTCATGTTCATGCCTGGTTTGTGTTGTGGAAAAATAATTTGAGCCCCTCCCTGAGCCTGGTTTTGCCGGAGGGTTGTGAGAATCTGCCGGAGGTTTCTACCTCCAGCAGAAAGGGAGTTTTTTCTTTCCACTGTTGCCAAAGTGCCTGGTCATAGGGGATGTTGGGATTTCTGTATACTATTGTAGGGTATTTACCTTACAATATAAGGAAAGGTATATTATAAGAAAGCCCTCTGTAAAGCTAGAACATCACTGATTGAAGAAAATAAGAGCAACCCCAGGTTTCTCTTCAGCACTGTAGCCAGGCTGACAAAAAGTCAGAGTACTGTTGAGCCAACCATCCCTTTAACATTAACTAGTAATGATTTCATGAACTTCTTCACAAATAAAATTTTAATCATTAGAGAAATTATTACTTAATTAATTACTAATTACTTCCTCCAAATAATCAACGTGTCTTTTAGACCCCATTTCTACAAAACTGCTCAAAGAAGTCCTGCCATTAATTAATGCTTCAATCATAAATATGATCAACCTATCTCTAATAATCGGCTATGTACCACAGGCCTTCAAGCTGGCTGTAGTTAAACCTTTACTCAAAAAGCCATCTCTAGACCCAGCTGTCTTAGCTAATTACAGGCCAATCTCCAACCTTCCTTTCATATCAAAAATCCTTGAAAGAGTAGTTGTCAAACAGCTAACAGATCATCTGCAGAGGAATGGTTTATTTGAAGAGTTTCAGTCAGGTTTCAGAGCTCAGCACAGCACAGAAACAGCTTTAGTGAAGGTTACAAATGATCTTCTTATGGGCTCTGACAGTGGACTCGTCTCTGTGCTTGTCCTGCTAGACCTCAGTGCAGCATTCGATACTGTTGACCATAATATCCTATTAGAGTGATTAGAGCATGCTGTAGGTATTACAGGTACTGCACTGCAGTGGTTTGTATCATATCTATCTAATAGACTCCAATTTTTGCATGAGTCAAAAATGCAAGGTCAAAGGTCAACTATGGTGTTCCACAGGGTTCAGTGCTAGGACCAATTCTGTTTACATTATAAATGCTTCCCTTAGGCAGTATCATTAGAAGACGTAGCATACATTTTCACTGCTATGCAGATGACACCCAGCTCTATCTGTCCATGAAGCCAGATAACACACACCAATTAGTTAAACTGCAGGAATGTCTTAAAGACATAAAGACCTGGATGGCCGCTAACTTTCTGCTTCTTAATTCAGATAAAACTGAGGTTATTGTACTCGGCCCTGAAAATCTTAGAAATATGGTATCTAACCAGATTCCTACTCTGGATGGCATTACCTTGGCCTCCAGTAATACTGTGAGGAAGCTTGGAGTCATTTTTGACCAAGAAAATATCTTGCGCAAATTCTCTAAAATTAGAAATATCCTGTCTCAGAGTGACACTGAAAAACTAGTTCATGCATTTATTACTTCCAGGCTGGATTACTGTAATTCATTATTATCAGAAATTCCTAAAAACTCCCTGAAAAGCCTTCAGCTAATCCAAAATGCTGCAGCAAGACTACTGGCAGGGACCAGAAAGAGAGAGCATATTTCTCCTGTTTTGGCTTCCCTTCATTGGCTCCCTGTTGAATTCAAAATCCTGCTCCTCACATACTAGGTCTTAAATAATCAGGCCCCATCTTATGACCTTGTAGTACCATATAACCCCATTAGAGCACTTCGCTCTCACACTGCAGGCCTACTTGTTGTTCCTAGAGTATTTAAAAGTAGAATGGGAGGCAGAGCCTTCAGTTTTCAGGCCCCTCTTATGTGGAACTTTCTTAAAACTTTCCTTTTTGGTAAAGCATATAGTTAGGGCTGGACCAGGTGACCCTGGATCCTCCCTTAGTTATGCTGCAATAGACGTAGGCTGCCTGGAGATTCCCATGATGCATTGAGTTTTTCCTTTCCAGTCACCTTTCTCACTCACTATGTGTTAATAGACTTCTCTGCATTGAATCGTACCTGCTATTAATCTCTGTCTCTCTTCCACAGCATGTCTTTATCCTGTCTTCCTTCTCTCACTCCAACCAGTCGGAGCAGATGGCTCCGCCCCTCCCTGAACCTCTGCCGGAGGTTTCTTCCTGTTAAAAGGGAGTTTTTCCTTCCCACTGTCGCCAAAGTGCTTGCTCATAGGGGGTCATTTGATTGTTAATCCTCAGGACCTTCTACCACTGTGCCATTGAGAGCATCCTCACTGGATGCTCTCTACTTCCGTCAGTTAAGCTAATCATCTGCTCCGTCAGGCAGGAGGTACTCCGCATTGTATATATTATACATAAAAGCTGTTTTTTTGAATAATATTCATCTACTGACTTGTGTACACACATGCACACACGCACACACACACACATATATATATATATGTATATACACACATATGCACACATCTGTTGTTTGTGAAGCTTGCACACAAGACTTTGACTCACGTGTGCTGTACCAGTGCCATCCACTACCATTCAGATAGTCTTCTCCTCTAGCATCTTGACAGTCATAGTATCCTGTTTTGAACACATAGGTTGAACACCTAAGAATAGTCCTTTCATTCTGGCACAGGAGAACATTCATCTGCCAGAGTTTGCCCACATTACTGAGAAGTTTAGCACAGGGAGTCAGCGTGCTCATTAATAGACACTGAGGAGTGGAGGCCTGATGTAGAACTTTGGCTGGACCCTGCAGAGTCAAACTGAGTCGTGTCATGAGTGCAGCTGGCCCTCCTTGCCGACCCAGATGTACAGACTCTACTAGAGTCAGGAGATGGGTTCAGAGCCATTCAGCAACAATGGTTGACGGGGAATACCTTGCAGGTCACGATAGGTCTTCAGAGCATCAACTGGATGTGAGTGTTTGGAGAGTTCAGTGGCAGTGAATTCTCTCTGAAACCACTGACCCAGAACTGTTTCCCAGGGTCTGTGGTGGAGGCTATTGAGAAGAAAAACTGACCATCCCAACACCATTCTAATGTCTCTGATTTCTTAGCAGGAGGGCCATAGCCCAATAACATGGTGGTAGTTGCTGTTGCTGCTCTCTGCTTGGTATCAGCTTTGCATCCTTCCCTTGATGGACACATTGTTGAGGATGATGGAAATACACATCATGATCTTGAATACAGACTTTGTACTCGAGCCACTCTGCAAAATCTGGTAAGGTCGGCATTGGTGACTGAAGAGGATTGTTGAACCACTTAAACTGTACTCGAAGAATGGCAGTTTGGACAGCAGTCTGGTGACATGCAACCCACACTCCAGTTCTAGTCTCCCCTCTTTCCCAAGCTGTTCCAACATTCCGACTAGAGCTTGTACTTTTAGAGGAAAAAGATGGAACCCTCAGCTGTCGCCACTCCAGACAGGAGGCTCAGACAGCACGTCAGTGATCTGCTGCAGGGCTAGTTTGTGAATTTGACCATACGGCTCTACGGGTTCTGGCTGTTGCTGTATGAATCTGCAATCAGGAGAGCATCTTCCAGCTTGAGCTGATCATGATAAAGGTGGGATCAATTTTGCTACTAACTCTCCACAAGACAGTTAATAACTAACTTTAGTAGCTTTAGTAGTTTTTTAAATGTTTATTTTATCCCCAGTTTTTGCTTAAATGAGAAAGCTTCTGCTTTTTTCTGACACTTTCATTCATGACATTACTTTTTGACTGTATGTGTTGTTAAAGCAGGCATATAATGCATGCTTATGAAAAAAAGAGAGAAAGAGCATCACTATATCCACTACACAATTATTTTGTCACCTCTACACGTCTTCAGATATCTTGCCTTTGTTACTTCTGTTTTTCTTTTGCATTGATTGATCACCCGATACACATGAAACATACACAAAAATCTTATTTTAATAAAGAGATTTTAAAAAATTATTTCCAATCTGTAGAAAACAATGTAGGTACAAAGTATTCTGTACCTACGTCGCACATTGTACATTACATTGTACCATTTGCACTCTCCCTCCTGGTCGCTCAGGTAAGCCAATCATCTGCTCTTAGATGTGCCAGGACACAGCGTAAGCTCAGAGAGCTTTTGCTGTGACAGCGCCTAAGTTGTGGAATTTGCTGCCATTGTCTATTTTTAAGTCACTTCTTAAAATCCGTTTTGAATTATTTCTTATTATTCATTTATTTATTTTTTTATTTTTCTTCTGTCCTTAATGATAAGCACTTTACTCATCACTCGCTAAATACAAAGCATTTTATAAATAAAAATGACATACTTTAATTGGAAATCAACGAAAGTGAATTTAATCGGTAATGCTCTCCATTGAGAACGAGTGCCACACACAGTGATCAATTTCTCATATTTCTTAAAAAGTCCTTACTGTAGTACTGAGCCTGTACTTCTGCTGAGATGCCAGAAGATGGTGCTCAAGATTAAATAAACGAATAAAAAGACAATGTTTTCTGTATACTTGGTAGATGTTGCAATCCTACAGATCAGCAGATAACCTCAAAATGTTGTTGAAAAAAAGAACAAGATCATTACAAAAAGCTGAAACGTAAACTTTCAGTGTGTATGACAAGAACTCAGTTTATCTCATAAGATCAGTTTCAAGGGAATCTACTGAGTTTGTTTTATGCTCCTTACGTGTTTAATTCTTGGAGTCTTTTAATGCAGTTTTGCATGTTCTCTCTCTAATTTTCACATTTCTTGAAAGTAAATCTTTGCCTGAATATAAGGAAAGGCATATTGGGTCTACTTTAACTTTCATCTGACGCCAGGCTCAGATAGCTTGCCTT